AGGTTGAGCCTGAATGCCACAGACCACAAGTCCTCCCCACCTTAGCAGGGGGAAGAAGGAATTACTGTAAACTAAGTGGTCTTTGGGGAGGGATCGGGTAAGGGATGAGCAGGGGCAGGAATAGACTGGGGAAAGGCCCAACGAAGGCAGGCGTGTCCCAAGGACTGACTGGATGGCAAGGAAGCCTTAAGACCGCAGAGCAGAGGTGAATCTCGCTCCAGTATTACAATGAGAAAAGCAAAGCCCAGAGAGGGTGAGTGACTTGCCCAGAGCCACACAGGACTCTTGGCATCCAGACAAGAGCCTTTCCATCATAACCTCACAACTTCTCAGGAGCGTCAGAAGGGGCTGGTCTGTGGAGTACTGACTGGCAGGTAGAAGGCCTTGACCCTCATGGGTTTGCACCTACCTCCGTGCCATGGCATACTCACTGGTAAGCTGCCTGGCAGGAGGGCAGGCCCGGCCGTTCACCCACCACACCAGTGATACCTCAGTGGCAGTGCCTGCTTCCTGCCCTGACCGGTAGGCAGACGTGTGTGAGGGGCAGAGGGGAGACCTCCTCAGGGTGACATCAGGGAGAATAGAAGAGCTTGGATTCCACCCATCAGGCCACCAGGTGACAAAGGCCTCCAGGAGTACCAGCCACTGCACAAGCTACTGCTCTACGCTGAGGCCCTCCGGGGTCCCCTGGATATACTGAGCCCCCCACACAAGCTGTGCCCCCCAGCAGCTCCAGTCCACAGTTCACCCAAACCCCCACCCAGACCTGGTTCCACAGACCTGCCCCCAGACCCACACAAGCATGGATCTCACTGCTGAAAGAGATTCCAGCGTAGCGGGTTAAACTGCCCTCCCTCAGGCAGGTTGAGAGTGATTCCGACTTTAGGAGTGGGTGACTGAGGGCCTGAGAAGTAGGTGACTTAGTGAGGGGAGACAGCTGGGGACCAGAACTGGGCTTTCTCTTTCCAGGAGCCTTCCTGGAACTATTGTATCTAAAGGAGATGAGAACTTCCCATTTCTTACCTCCATCACCTCCCCTCCTCAGAACAGTAATAGTATTTAAGGAACACTTTCTACGTGCGCTGCACTGTGCTAAATTCTTCCCCCATGTTATCGTTGGTAATCCTCACAGCATTCCTCCTTGAGAAGTATTATTTCCCCCAATTTAAAGACGAGGAAACAGAGACTCAGAGAGGCTCAAGTCCATCCAGCTGGAGGTTGTTTTGCCTCCACAGCCCACCTTCATGACCATCATTGGGCCAGCCTAGTCAGGATGGCCCCAGGCTGGGAGGGAGGCAATCCTGGTTCTTTGAGAACCCAGCCAGCATTGGGACAGGCTGGACCTCGTCCTAAATTAGCGGTCAACACCTAGCACTAACAGTAATATATAAACGAGCATTTCCTAGATGCCAAGTCCTGTGTCAGATGCTTTATGTCCAACATTTAATCCTCCAACAACCCCAACAGGCTGGTGGGATTATGCTCATGGTTTTTTTCAGATGAGAGCACAAAGGCTCAAGAGAGTTCAAAGTGCCTCGTGAGTGGCAGAGCTGGGGTTCAAGCTCCCTTAGGTCCCCTCCACGGCCTTCACAATGCTGCCCCCAGACCCCTACACCAGGAATTATGACACGGGAGGGGCTCTCCTCTCGCACCTGCGCACCAGTGCCACGGGCATCACCTGGGATCCTGTTAGACCTGCAGGACCCCAGGACTTGGCCTAGACCTACTGATTCAAAATCTGATTGTTATCAAGGTCCCCAGGGAATTCACGGCCACAGGGAAGTTTGAGAAGTCCTGCTCTAGACCCTCTTGCTCTGTACTCCAGTTTCCCAAGGGGCCTGAGACCAAGAACTAGGCCAGGAAGGGAGGGGCAGGAACTGAGGGCACCTGCCTGCTGGGATCTGGGGTGGCTCCCCCCTTAGTTATCCGCCCTCTTTGGAGTCATCCAGGCACACAGAGCTCAACACGTGTGAGTCAACGTATGTTCCCACTGGATCCCACATGCCCTTCCTGGAGCCCCTCAGGAGGGACAGCAGGGGGTCTCAACAGGCCAGCCGAGCTTCAGCCGATGCCCAGAGGCTGGGGAGAATCCCCAGGCCCTCCCAGGAAGGGGTTAAAACAGAACAAGTCACACACTGGCTCCAATAATCCTACTCCCCGAGAGATTTCCCTGGGGTACATCCTAACTGAATCCCAGTGAGGCGAGAGCTGGGGGCTGGGAGTGCTTTCAGGCAGTCTGCTTGTCAGTGGACTCACCTTTAAAGGAAGAAAAAAGCCTTGGCTACACTACTGAGCACCTCCTATGTCCAGGCAAAGCACGGGCTCTGACAGTCCTTACAACCGTTCCACAAAGTAGGATTCTGTGCACATTTCACAGGTGAGGAAACTGGGCCACGGACAAGTTAACTTGTCCAGGATCTCATCCTTAACAAGCATCTGAATTTCCAGCCCCCAAACTATAAACACATGGAACAGCCAGGCAGAGGAACCAGATGTGCTGGAAGCATGATTGCCGCTAGGACCCTGAGCCACTCCATCCTAAAAGGGAGGTACATAGAGCTGAAGCCCCCAAGGAATCAGCCTGGAGTTTAGCCCATTCTGGTCAGGTCATCTTTCAGTGACGGCACCCAAGCCCACCTGGGACGGAAGAGGGGGCATTCCCAGCCATCGGCCTCTGGCCCGGAGCTCAGAGGCCCCAGCAGACCTGCCCACACACACCTAGACCCCTATCTGCCTCACTGGGTTAGTCCACTGGGTGGACTGTGTGTCTGTGAGGGGCGCTTAGCATGCCCCCGCCCTCAGCCGATGCCCAGGGGCGTGGGAGCAGGCAGGAGGAGCAGGGGCTCTGGAGGTCTCCCCACACCTTTTCACAAGGCGCCCTCCCGTGTCACACAACATCTGCCCTGCCTGCGGGCACACGGGCAGGGACTTATTACTAAAGGAGAAAACCCAGGCTGCTAATCAGCTTTGGAGGTTTCTAGGGACATCAGACTGTGAAGTGAGAAAAGGGGATCCAGCTACCCGCTTGCTTGGTATCCAAGCGTTCCCCCACGGGGCCCCAAGCCTTGTAGGGGAGAGAGGCTGTATCAGACTGCCAGTGTTTGCAGGCAACTCCCCCAGTTTTCCCCAGTACCCCAAAGGATTAACCAAGCTGACCTCACCCTCTGGCCCTTCCCCCAGCCAGAGCCCACAGCTCAATTTCTTATACTGTGAGGAGTTTAAGGAAACCAAACATCTTGAAGGTATTACCATTTATAGAAAAGCACATTTACAATTAGCTATATATAAACACCTGGGGATTTATCTCCCAGAATCCCAGGCTGGTGACGTGGGGGGAGCATCCTATCCCTCGGTGCTGACACAGGCCAGGGAGGGTTTGGAGGCTCCCTGAGAAGTCTCATTTCTCCCTTCCGAAAAATCTTCCTCGGGTCCCTACCCTCCGTCCATGCTTCTCTTTCTCACATCCAGCCATCTGCTCAGAGGCTGCACCAGCCTTCCCTACGCTGCCGGGAGGGCCGGGGGATGAGGGGTTGCTGAGCCAGAAGTGATTCGGTCTCAAGGTCCAGGGCTGCCACCCGGAGAGCTCCATATGGGGGCCCGGATCAGCCTTCCTTAGAACAAAGGAGCATCTTAAACTCAACGAGAGCGCTCCTGCCTCAGAACGATTCATCACTCACCAGCCGTTCAGAGCAACTGTGCAAATGCCCTCAGAGCCAGGAAGAAACTTGTCAGCGATCAGACGGGGAGGAGGCAGCGTGTCATAGGAGTTAGGCATGAAGGTGCAGGGTCAGGATACTCAGACTGCTGTCCTGGCTCCTCTGCTCCCCAGAATGTCATGAATCCCCCTTAGTCTCAGTTTTCTTATCTGTAAAAGGGGGTTGATAACTGCCCATGTCCCAGTGGTATCATGATGACTGAATGAGATAATTCACGTAAAGCACTTCGGCAGGGTGCCCAGTATGCAGTAAGTGCTTAATAAATATTAGCTAGAATCATTACCAACCAAAGTTAAAGCAGCTTTTTTTAAAGGGACATCCCTCCACACACAGAGAAGTACAGAGATATTAGATGGAGAAATACTGTCCACTTGCCAAAACTTTGATCTTTTCTCAGGAGCAGTGGTTCTCAACCATGACCTCCCTCCCTTACAGCCTGCCACCTCCCCAAGATACATACAGAATTTTGGTTTATGTAACAATTCCCACGAGTGTGCACAAATTAAGCAACAACAACATACTTTTTGCAGGACAGGGCAGCAAAGCACAGCCATCATTTCATCACCATAGTAACTGGTGGTCCAGCAGTACAAGCAAAGCAAAATTCTAAAGCTGAAACACCTCTCGTCTCTCATTCAAAAAAGCACACCAGATATCAAGTCACCACAATGTATACTTTAAATATCTTGCAATTTTATTGTCAATTATACCTCAGTGAAGCTGAAATTAAAAAGTACACCAGCATGAAGGTGAGTAGGAGTAATGTCTTCATTGTGTTAACCCTGAAATTATTCTATCATATTTTTCGTAAAGCAAACTGTTGACAAGCTTCAGAATGTCATCACTTGCACAGTGAGGTTTTGTTCTACCCAAAAGTTTTGAAAGTCAGTACGTAATTAAACATTTTGTGGAGCCAAAATTACTGTTTGAAATTCTCTTATATCACCCCCAAAGTATGACAGTCATTTATCTTTAAATTCAAGAATCATTCTCAATAGACTGTGATGCTCACAATATACAGGCATATGGAAACTAAGACACACTGACCTAAGAGCTGGATAGGACTTGCTGTCTCTCTCTGGCTCCTGCTCCCCACAACAGTGTTTGGCTACATTCTTGTCAGATTGCATTCCAATCAGTTAAATGGGTATATGTTATAATTCCACCACAAATTACTGCTATGCCCCTCTCAAATGACCCATGCTCCAGAAGCTACACAAGATGGAATGGCTCCCTCTATCTCTCATGGCCTGGGGAAAAAAAAAAGTAAGGGCACCCACTTACTTGCAGCCTGGATTCGAGCCTTCCGGCTGACCACCAGCCCAAAGCGATTCTGAGCCACACACTCATAGTCACCCTCATCCGAAGGGCTGCCTCCTCGATCCAGCAGGAAGTGGTGGATCATCAAGGACCCGTTGGCCAGTACAGTGGAGTGGGTACTCTCTGGCAGCTCCACCCCATTCTTCCTCCAGGTGATTCGCACTGGAGGGGTCCCCTCCACCTCGCAGCCTAGCACGACAGGCTGCCCAGGGACTGCAACATCATCACTTGGCTCCACAGCAAATGCCAGTTCAGTGGAGTGGCCAAGACCTGCATCGAGAGGAAAAGGAGAGGTTAATGTGGAATGAGCAGACACAGGGGTTCCAAGTTCTCTGGATATGTGTATCCCATCTCCATCACTCTGGGATTTTGGGGGGTAGTAATTAGGTTTATTTACTTATTTTATTTTTAATGGAGGTACTGGGGATAGAACCCAGGACCTTGTGCATGCTGAGCATGCACTCTGCCACTGAGCTATACCCCCACCCCATTCTGTGATGTTAATTGGAATCTCTATTACTATAGAGAACTTTGTGCATTATGAAGTGTCATCTTATGCAGTATACTTACTTAATCAGCAGACCATCTCAGAGAGATGGATATTATTTTTTAAAACTTTGAGTCTTTTACAGGAACGGGAACTGAAGCCCAGAGATGTTAAGCAACCTGTCCCAGGCCTCACAGTTAATAGTTGCAAACCTGGGATCCAAAAGCAAGACTGATTGCAATATAGCTGCTGCCACTTCAGTGGTCATCCTGGTTAATCCCTGAAGCCTCACACTTTCAGGTAAAGTGACCTGAAGTAAAGTGACCTCACACTGACCTCAGGTAAAGTGTTCATCCTGTCCTGGCTTCCCGTTCCTCGTCTGCTTAAATCAGGAATAACAATATAGCTTGTGTTGTAAGGTTGTTAAATATGACTAACAGGCTCAAAGGAACTATGAAAAGTTAGAAGTTCTAAACAAATATAAAGTGAGATAGTAATAAATCATTACTTCTTTTATTCTGGCAAAACCACCTGAGGTCTGGTCTGATGCCTGGCAGGGAGCAGGGTGTGTGGGCCCAGTACCAGGCACAGGCGAGGCTGTGGTCCAGCTGCATTGCCCCACCCCTGAGATGCTCTGGGTCTGGTTGTTTTGCTAGTTTTGCCTTTGTTATAAGGTGGGTGAGGGATACCAAACATCAACTCAGATTTCCCAAAATTCAGAAGGAGGGAGGTTTCTAGAACCTTTACTCTCAGCAACCTCTTCACTCCTGCAGGGGGAAAAAAAAAAAGAACTGGAAGGGGAGGGGAAGAAGAGAAAGAAAAGGGTGATCTGGGAATCAGGAGAAGCCAGAGAGGAAGGACGAGCGCTCCAACCCCAGGCATGATGCCAAGTGCCCAACTTCTGCAACGAAGAACTTACCAGACCAGTTACAAGTTCACTCCAGGAGGAACGAACCCACCTGGGCTGAAAAGGCAGCCTCAGACCTCTCCTCACATTTCCAGGGAACTAGCGATCCAGGAGCTGGCCCCTCCGCAACAGACCAGCTCCCTCCCTGGCTGTGGGGAAACCGACCAGTGGGTGGGGAGAAAGGAGGAGGAGGGCTGGGGGTTAGGGGCGTTTCCCCTACCCTCCGGGATGTGTAATTCGTATTTTAAGCCATTTGCCGGTCACGCCTCTTCAAATCCCTACCCATCCTCCTCAAGAGCTGGATTTCAGCTGCCAACCCCGGTATAGCAACCAGGGGATAAAGTTTCTCCTAGATGTGGCCGCGATATTCTGCTTCTCCGGAGCTAAGAGGGGAGAGAATAATGCCCAGAGGAGTGTTCGCTGAGAACTTGGGGTGGGAGGGGGAAGGGACTAGGGTTGCACCCCTCTTCTGTGAGATGGGACCGTTACAGCAGCTGAGGGAACAGGGTGGTGGTGACGGAGCTCTGGGCAGCAAAGCAGGCAGACCCTGAGCTCCGCATGTGCATCCTCCCCGGCAGGGCGGGCACGTGGGCATCCCCACCGCTGGTTCGCCCTTGGTCAGCTTCTCTTCCCTTTCCTCAGCTCGTGGGGTGTCTCTCGGGTCTCCCCCTCTTCATGCGCCGCCCACCGGGAATCTTCTCCCTTCTTATTCCTCGGTCTCTCCCTCGCACTCCCCGTCCCAGCCCCGGCTCCAAATCCCGGATATGCCCTCTCCGGCCAGCGCAGCCCGCTCCGTCCCGGCCTCCGCCCCCGGGGTCTGCGTTCTCCTGCCTGGGCCACGTCCGGTCATTCTGTGCCCATCGCCGGGCTCCGCGCACCCCAGCTCGCCCCTCGGACGGGGACTCAGCCCTGCGGTCTCTTCTGGCTCGTTCCCCCTCTCCCCAAC